AAAAAAAAAAAAAAAAAAAAAAAAAAAAAAGACCCAGCAGGGAAATATCAATGACAATTTTGTACTAACACTGCCTTTTCATGATTTCTCTGTGCCAAAAATTTTATAAAGCATTTCACCCATATTATGTTATTTAATCTTCACAAAGATACTGCAAAGTAAGCATTTTTATCTTTTTGTCTTCAGATAGGTTTTCTGAGCCTCAGCGAAGTTTATAATGTGCCTTACATCATGAGGTTAAGAAGGGGAAATGCTTGGATTCAAATCTAAGTCATCTAAATCCACAGTTTTGCTCCCAACCACATTAGCAAATAGATTTACTAACGCAGGTTTAAGAAGGTGTATTAGAGAGTAAAGAGGTTTGGAAAGTATTCTGCCCAAGTTCAAATGCTGGCTATGGCGTTTACTTACAAGTTCTATGAGCATCTGTAAGTCACTTACCTGCTGTCAATCTTTTTTTTCTTTAATCTCTAAAGGGGACCAGCAATGCCTGCCTGGAAGCATCATGTGCAGACTGAGACCAGACTTGCACATTCTAAAGCTCCTTCTCACTGCAGGGTAGAGAGAGACTGGGACAGTGAGTTACATTTGTCATTTCAATAAGAAACACAGGTTGGCAGATTTTAATAGAGACTCTCCCACAGGGCATCTGGAGCCAGAGTTGGTCTCAGTTCCACCCAATCGTGCGGTGGCAGAAGGTCATGACTGCCTCAGTAGCTCCTTGGCATTTTCTGGAGAAGCTGTGAGTCTGATCATAGGCCAGCTCCCCCGTTTATGGACAGATATCGACAGGACACAGGTGTCTCTGTTTCAATTTATTATCATTATCCTGCTCATGGGGGCACCCGTGTGCCTGAGCTCAAGGTTAGCATGAACGTAGGCAGAAAGGAACTTGACCTTCCTCCTTCTCCCAACTAGAGTCCAAATCAGGAAGGCCAGACAGGAGATACAGTTGAAGAGTCGGGATGCATTGGTCTAGAACTCATCATGCGACACAGGTCCATTCACAGGGCCAACAATTGCCCTTAAAGGGAATTAAATAGGAGAGCTTTGTAAGTAGCGATGCTGAGTCCTACCTCCCAGATATTCTGAATTAATTGTCTGGAATGGGACCCAAGAATGAATATTGATAAATTAAATAAATACAAGCTTTCCCAGTGATTCTAAAATGCAACAAGAGTTGCAAGTTACTAGATTGGATGAATTCGTAAATAACAAATCTTTCCATTAATATCTACTGAGCACCTACTATGTGCCAGGCATTGTACTAAAACTCTGGCACATAGCTGGTAAAAATAGGTACAAATTCTACTCATAAAAAGTATACATGGATAACACAAATTACCATATAATGAATAGCTAATATTTGTGATTAGTGATAATATTGATTTTATCATTTTGTCATATATATACACATATACACAATATAAATGATGTACTGTGTGTATTTTTATACACACATATGTATATAGTATAGTAGTATATATAAAGAGAGTTAATTATATACATATGGTTGGATATATACAGAGTCAGTAATATATATAGAAAAAGGTAGATATATCCATTGTTTTATATATATATATAAAACCAGTGTGTGTATGTGTATGTGTGTGTGTGTGTGTGTGTATATATATATATATATATATACACAATCCATATGTAATAGAATATATACACAATGCATGTATATGAATGTGTATATGGATGTGTGTAGTAGTATGTGTATACATATACACATATATATATATAATACACACATAGGCTATAAACATACATAGTATAATTATAATAAAACAAAAGCTATTATGTTAATGATGTTAAGAAGGGTTTGTCGTATGTTTTCTAAAATAAAATTTAGAAAGTTGTAATTTTTAATTTACATAGAAAAATATCAGTATAAAGTAATAATTTATTTGTCTCCATCTAAAAACAGCCTTATGTACTGTCTGTCCACTGAAATGGCCTAGAAGTACTTAGAGCCCTGTCTAATGAACCCTTTTTTCTACATGTCCTCCTTTAAAACTTCCTTTTTATTGTAAAAAAGGAAAGACAGCAAATATACCCAAAAGAGCAAACTGTTCCACCTGGTTTGAAATCTAGGATAATGTCGGATATACATGGAAATTTCAAAGAACATCTTGGTTTCTATTTGACTTCTCAGTATAGTGTTTTTAACAGCAGGATCACAGCCAGGTGCTAAACAATTGCTCTTAGCACTGTCATGATCAGGCTTGGCTCCTCCCTGAATGGTTGGATCCTATGCCTAGTTCACAAACCTTTGTTAGCAGGTTATACCTACCAGCATACAGCTAAAGACCACAACAATATCCTTAGCACTCACTATGAGCCGTAACTGTTCTAAGCCCTTAAGGCACATCAACTTAATTCTCACAATTACCCTCCATGTAGGCATTATTATTATCATTATCTTGATTTCACAGAAAAAATGCCATGGCACAGCGAGGAAAGAAAAGACTATGAGAAAAAAATTTCTAGGTGGATACAAAACTAGTTAATGTCTTAGGGGATAATAAAATTGGGGGGGTAATGTCTACTCTATTGGGCAAACATTTATGGGTTAACATGTAGCTTCATAATATCTAAGGTCTAATGAGCCAATGAATAGCAAAACCAAATGACAGGTACATTCTCCTTGAGAATTAAACGATCATTGAGTAGACTTGTTAAAAATTGCCCCAGGATGATGTTGAAAGGACAAACTTAGCTCTCTTTTGATCTCCAGGTTTTGGGTATTTTTAAATATACTCCATTCATTCATTCATTTACTCCCTTATCTCAATATTTCATTTCCTTCTACACTACCCCATTCAGCCTTCCATGCACTTGTCAAGGAACTTCCTGGTTTTCCACCGCAGATGAAATCCACGTTGTAAAACTCCTGACTTCCCTAAAGCTAAGTCTTCCTCACTGAAATGAATGTGCTCAGTGGCATCCTCCCAGCTCCTCACCGCTGAACTTTTTCACAAAAATAAAGGCCCTGCAGGTCTTCAGACACCATTGAACACTGCCACATCCCCTGGGAATCATATACACCTGTGGCATACACTGAATTTAGGTAATTAAGGACCACTTCACCTCCACTGTGTGCTCAGAACTCAAGCGTACACATTTCTGACCGACACGAGGAAGAAAAAGGGGCACAGCTGGGAAGGATGTCATCCCAAGCAGAGATCAACACAAAAGTTGAAAAGAAAAATATAGGAAAGGCATGCTCATGAGTACCCTCAGACCCTGAGTAAAGTAAGTCTGAGTTCTGTCAGTGATGAACTCATCTTTATGTTAGAAAACACACCCTTGGACCTTAGGTACTGTGCCCCCAAGGTCTGGGCAACTCACTGGACCAGGAGAGAGATTAGATGGTTAAAACCCACTAATAGTCTTCACCCTGCTATCTCATCTAAGGAAGAAATCAGCCAAATGGAATTTTTGTTCTC